GGGGGGGAGATTGACCGAAGGAACCGATGCCATGAATGTGACATCCAAGCCTCCTAGGAGGAACATGTTGGACGCGGCAGTCGCCGGCTCGGCCAGCACCCTGGCCACTCGGTCTGGCAAGCGATCCACTTGAAGCACTCGGGCGGAGGTGGCGTCCTGGACTCTGTGATTTAGGAGGATCCGGGCGTCAGGGACGAGGCGTCCAGCGGGGGGGCGAGGCTGACACAAAGGGCAGATGGCGTGGGGGAGGAGAAAGGGAAGACGCACCTCCTCCAGGCATCCTTGATGGCCTCAACATCAGGGCCAGAGGGCAAATTCCGGCACTCGGAGGGAAGGCCCGCCTGGCCGGTGGACGGCTCGGGGGCAATGGCCGGCGCATCGGGGCGTTCGCCAACCATGGGCATGGTGTGGAGGAGGGCGGCCGGGGCGAGGGCTCGAAGGTGAGGAAGCCAGGGCCGGGGGGCAGCGAGCACAGGCGGGGGAGCAAGGCGGCTCGTGGCTGGACGAGGCTGGGGAGGGAGGGGGGGGGGGGGGGGGGGGGGGGGGGGGGTGGGGGGGGGGGGGGGGGGGGGGGGGGGGGGGGGGGAGGGCGAGCGAGAGGGCTAGACATAGAGACGGGCAGGAATGAGGGGCTTGGCCGATGCGCTCCACGAGAGCCACACACTTACCACACGACACACATGCGGGCCAACACCCTCCCCCCTCCCCCCTCGACCTTTAGAGAACCACTTTCGCAACGCCGAACAATTCCACGCCTACCATGATGTGTTGGTCTGGTTCCTGGAGACGGATTGCTGCCTGCGGTCCATTCGCGCAGGGAGCTCACATGCACGCAAACTTTTCCTTCCAGGTGCGCTGCGGCTCCTTCCAGCGGGTGGCCACGCGGGGGGGGGGAACAGGGCGCCGAGCACAGGCCAAGCGGCGGGGGGAGAACACGCATCTGGATCCACTTCTAACCCACAAGCACAGAATCACGCTCGCGAGCCACCCTGCGCCAGTTCGCCCAGTCAGTCGCGCAGGCGCTCCAGACCAACACCTCTCTCCTGCGTCTCGAGATGCTCCCAGAGGCCGGGGGAAAGACCTGTCTCCTGCCCCTGAGGCGTTTTGCCACGGCTGGGAGTTCTATCGCCCGGGTGACACAGAGCAACGTCCTCTTCCGATTTGCCTAGAGAGAAGGTGAAGGGCCGGGGGCGAGGGGGGGGGGGGGGGGCTGACCCCGAGGCGGCTGTCCCCTTGCCCCTTCATCGCACCCCGATCCATCATCCCCGGGTGCGCCCCGCGCCGGCCGGCTACGACGACGACGACGCCCAGCTTCCCAAGCCGCTCCTCCAGCAATAGAGATGAAGAAAGACACACACACAACCATGAGTAGCCGATCGCGGCCCGCAAGTGCCAACGATCCCCGTCGCTCAGAGGGGCCCGCGCCCCTGTCCCCCGGAGGGGGCTGGGGGCTGCTCTCGCCCACCACACCGGGGGACTAGCGGCCCGGGTGTCACCACCGAATCCCGGGCGTCCGGCGGGCCATGAGTACTGTGACGCGGACGTCCGTGCGTGAGTGTGTATCGAGTGCGCGAGTGGGCGAGTGCCTGCGCTTGTACCTGCCGAAGATGGCTGGCGCAATCGCCCACGCACTAAAGGGGCACCGCCTCTGGGTAGTAGACGAACTGCCCTCCCCCCCCCCTCCCCCTCCCCCTTTCACCTTCTCCCTCGCCTTCTTCATCTTCCCCCCCCCCTCTCTCTACCCCAGCCATGTCCTCTAATGCTCTCTGGACCCCGATTGAGTCGTCTCCCGCGGTGCGCTGCGCCTACATCCTCCAGCACTGTCCAGCAAACAACAAAAACGACCCCTCTCCCGCTCCTTACCACTGACAACAACCACAACCACCCCCGCATCCAGAGCCTCACCACCCTCGCCCATCGCCTCGGCAGTCCGGCCGCCTCATTCGAGGACATCTTCGGCTTTGACCCGGAGCTCCTGTCGATGGTCCCGCGCCCGGTGTACGCTGTTCTGCTGATCTACCCGATTACTCCGGAGGTACGGCCTCCCCCAGTTGGTCTCTGTGGTCCTTTCCATTGCCAGCCCCTTGGGGGCTGTCCCAAGAATCGCATACTCACATGTGAATGCCGCCCCCCCCCCCCCCCCCCGCCGTGTTGCCTCCTGCTCGGACCACCAGATCGAGGAGTTCCAAACTCGGCTGTACGCTGGCAAGAAGGCCGACACCAGCGCCTCGGTGTTCTTCATGCAGCAGACCGTCGAAAATGCCTGCGGCACTGTGGCACTCTTCCATTCGCTGCTCAATGGTCGCAAGGCCCTTCCGATCGGTCCGTCCTCCTCTCCCCGTCCATGCACTGGTTCTCACCGTACACCCCGCGCACGCACCGAATGTGTGCGTGCACGTGAGTGCACGCATACATATACTCACGCATCTTCACGCATATGTGAACATCTATTGCACACAGAGAAGGAGTCGGTGCTGGACATTTTCTACCAGAAGAACAAGGACCTGTCGGTGGAGGAGCGTGCCCGCGCATTCGAGCTGTCCGACGACATCCGCGACCACCACCATGACTCGGCGCAGGAGGGCGAGACCGAGATCCCCGAGGACAACCTGACCAACCACCACTATGTGGTCTTCGTTGAGCATGAGGGCAAGCTTTACGAGCTGGATGGCCGCCGCGAGGGCCCGGTCCTCCATGGCACCACCACCGAGTCCAGTCTCCTGGAGGTGCGTGTGCGGGCATGCTGCCGCCCATGCCCCCCTGCTGCCTGCCAGGATATCTGGCGACGGTGGCGGCGGTAGATCGCTTGAATAACCATGACCAATGGCTAACGCTGTACTTCCCCCTTCGTGCCCTGCCCGCCCTGCCCCTGGGAAATGCCGCTCCCCCCCCCCCCTCTCTCTCTCTCTCTCCCTGCCGACGAGCACAGGACGCCTGCAAGGTCATCGACGACATCTACTTTAAGAACTCCGAGGGGTCGATCGAGTTCTCTGCCCTGGCCCTGTGCAAGAGCTCCGGCGATGAGGCGTAATTCGGCCACATGCACGAGTGTGTATGTGCGTGTGTGTGTGTGTGTGTAGCCCCGGATCTGCCGCCGGGGGGCAGCATGACACAATATATGTGCGCCAGCAGCGCGAACATGCACCAGTGTGCACATGTGTATCGACGTGGCTCGACCATGAGGCATAGTTGTGAGTGTATTCACGGGGAGGCGTGCTACTTCGCAGTGGGGAAGACACGTTCCGAAAACTCCGGGCCCCCGGCCAGGGACCACGGCCGCTGGCCGGTCGAGGCATTGAGGCAGAAGGCCTTGAGCAGGGTGCGAGACACCTGATCCGCGTGGCGGATGGGCTCCGGCAGCCGGAACTCGCACGATCCGTGAACCACTCGCACGGCCGTGTCCAGGCTGACCCGGTGGCCAACCGACACGAAGATCGGCCGGGAGGACTTCTTCGTTGCGCGCATAGCCTGCGAGGAGCGGGGAGGGGTTAGCTGTGGCCAAGGAGGTGGGCGTGGCGCGGCGGCAAGGTGAGGTGGTGCGCACGCGACCCTTGACCCTGCCTGAGCTGTCGATCAGATCGAAGAAGGACCCGGACTGGGTGAGTTCCGCGGCCGCCCGGCTGGACACGTCCTCGGCCTCGATTCCCGGCAGCTTGAAGAAGGTTTTGGACACGCCGATGGTCTGGGAACCGGGATCAGCATGGGAATGTCAGCTGGCAGG